CCCCCCCCCCCCCGCCCCCCCGCAAAAAAAAAAGACAAAAGGAGAAAACCAATAATTTGAGTAATTCTCCGACCCTTTAAGCCTCAACTCTTTCATGTTTTCCACGTCGCTTCGAGCCCCTGGCCCTGAGATTGTCCAATTTTAAAGTGGTCCAGAAGTCTCAGACACTCGGGGTGCCCATCTGCCCAGGGGTCTAGGATTTGCGACGCTTGATGCACGATTTGTTCTTTCTGGGCTAGCCTGTGCCAGAGCCCGAGGTTGCTCAAGAGACGATGGGGCAAGTGGCTGCTGCGGGAGATGAAGCTTGGAGGTCGTTTCACGGTGTCTTCGCATGGGCGTAACTCCCAGAGTTTTGCTGCATCTCCTTGTCACCATATGATTTATATCAGAGCAGCTACAGTGTGGACAGATTGCATCAGGCGAAGCAAGTTGCTTCATCATATCCAAATCTGCCGGCACATTGAAATTCTAGAAGGACAGGTTTCATTGCATGCCTTATGCACACATGCCGGATAGGATCGAAAGCATAAATCCGCCGGAAGGCAACAGGCAGAGTCGGGAGTCGGAGCGAATAAGGAAGCACGGAATCAGTCGCGCCTGTTCGTGCCAAGAACACGGCTGCGGCGAGAACTCGGCGCACTGCACTGTGCTCGAAGGCCACCAACCGGACAGCGTAATGGAACGGTAGGCGTGGGCGTCGAAGTCGACCCTGCTTTCCATGCTCATGGTCCTCTGAGACCTGGAGGCTGTTGGCTTGCTGTGCTAAGTTTGGGCGAAGGAAGTCGACATTCTTTGCAGAAACAGGTCCTGACCTGCAAGACCGAAGACTGCATTTGGCCGGCAAAAAGCTTGATTGTGCATGAGGAGTTCTGTTTACACCCAACACCTTATCACCCGAGATAGACACTTCACTCTGCATGCTTGTCGCTTGCATGTGCCAGCTGCTCGAGCCTGAGGCTTTCAGAGGTCACAGCTTCGCTCGAATCTTAAGGAAGATCCCTCAGCTTGCAAAGCCTCTACAGTGGCTGCTCGATCCGCACAGCCCCCCAGCACACCTCCAGCCGTATAGGACGGATACGCCAACCACAAGTCACAAGTGGGAAGGCTTCAGGGGGCTCCGACCGCGATAATGGCCACAGCTCTGTCTTTGCCCACTGCAAGGCTTCACAAGGCCCCAGCTGAGACGTCAAAGACGCAGTTCAAGACTTCTGAGCTTCTTTCGGCGCTAGTGCGTTGCCAAATCGCTTGATGGTTGAGTCCTCCAGGCTCCAGGCAGAAGCCTTGACACTTGATGCCGAAGTGTAGGCAAGATCTGCAGCGTTTTGAGCTCTGGCGCAGGCTTTGCTTGGCACGCTGCTCGCCAGCAGTTCTGCGCAATCCAAAGTTGCACGGGTGCCGGCAACACATCTGGAAGCAGATCAACAAGTTTAATTCACAGCTTCTAGAATGTGGGAGTTTTTCGGCATCGAGGGAAGCTGCAGAAGAGCCGCGACTCAGACAGGAGGTCTCAATTTGTGATGTTGCGCCTAGGCTGTCTCTGCTGCGACGTCGGTTTCTCCTCGCCTTCATCGTCTCTTGCCCTGTGCTGGTTCTCTGGGTGCCTGGGCGATGAGCTGTGCAAGGGTACATGATGGAACATGCATCAGTCGAGCTTGCTGTCACTGTAAAGCCCCTCTATAAGCAACACCGTAGCGGCTCAGCGCCAAACTTCAGAATCCTGTGCGCATCATCGGCTCGGCCAGCGGCCCGTTCGACACCGGTTTTCAACTCTACGATATTCTACGATGCAGCTGGCGCAACAGAGCCCTCTGACAACACAGGCTTAGACCCCCCTTCGTCAGGAGTTGCTCCGGCGACGGGGGTCCCCGCGCACAGTCAAGAGCAGCTCCAGCTCCAGCATTGGAGGCGGGGGAATGTTCAATGTTTCATGGTTTGGGGGAATCGTTTCGAAGGGACATGATCGTAACTCCTATCTAGGTCCTGTTTTGGCTAAGGAGTCGCAACCTAAGACTTTGTAGGGCTACACCCTGCTCATGTACCGGTATGATGCTGTAACTTATTATTTTGCAGGGTAGAGCGCTACAGGTCCAGTGACATGTCTGCAGTTGTACTGTTGGAAGACTTGATGAAGTCATGCAGGGATCTGTCAAGGCTCCTTGCAGAGCCACAGTCAAAGCAGGTGTTCTGTAGTGATGGGGGAATTTCAAGCACGGTCAGCTCTCCAAGTCCCTATACTACACAAGGCCTGAAGAAGCTGCCTGCGCTGAAGATCGGCGATGCACCTCCGAGAGATTGGTCTCCGACTCTCTCCGGCTGTGACACCTTAGCCTTAGGGGAGTTTCAGTTTCAGTGCGCGCATAGCTTCCGCCGAGTCTCTGTGAGCCTGGCGCCCGAGGCAGACCCATTTAAGCGCCTTCCTGACGCCGGCAAGCCGGGTGGTACCCCACCGAGAGATACCGAGAGCTTGCGGGATGGGTCACCGTGCTGCGCCAGTCATCGTAGAACTGTATGCACAGGGTTTGGGCAAGCCGGTTCGGGGTGGAGTGTGACTGGCGCGGGGCCTTCTTAAAGCATGCAAGCTTGTCTTGTCAGGTTTCAACGATCTCTATCCTACCCTCGAGCGGCCACTTGTCAAAGTTTCCAGGTCTACGGGCTGGAAAGGGACGTTTCTGCAAGGAAAGCAGAGATGCTGTCCGAAAGATCGCCACCGGTCCACTTGTGCACCAGAAGCCATAGCGGATAAAGCGGCAGATTTTCTGCGCAAGCCAAGGATCACCGACAGCACTTTCGGCACAGTGTTCCACTGCAATGGACGTTCCCACGAGTGGCTGGATTGCAGCACAGGTGTGTCATAAGGGCGCAACGTGGCACTTTGCACAAAGTCTGCCAAGCGTTGCAAGTGTTGCTTTCGGCTCACATGGCTTTCTGAGAAGGCGGAGCGTCGTGAAGATCGTACGCAGAAGAGCCGAAGCCTTGGTCCGGCCTGCGGGACTAGGGCTAGCGGAGTAGTGGTTTGAGGCGGTTCGCAGGACTGGCCGGGCTTCCTCAGTCGGATGAGGTAGAGCGCCGCAGCGTTTTGTCAGTCTTCTTTGCCTCATTGCCAGGGTGATAGCGTGCTGCACAAAGCAACTGTGAATCATGCTCTGAATGCCTGACCTGTCAAGCCGGTGATAATTGCTAGTTGCCCCCCGCGTCGCAAATCCGATGCCGAGGAGCATCCGTTGCTGAAGCAACGCCGGCAGCGCACAACGGAGACAGAGGACAAGTTTTGGAAAGTGTGAACCTCCTACTCGTACCTGGTTCTTTCTACTTCAGCAGGTTCGAGGCAGGCACGAGCAGAACCGAGCAACAGCAAGGCACATGTGGACTTCGGGGAAGCCGACCCGCCATATTGGGGCCAGGATCCCGAGCAGAAGAACGGACTGCGTTGCAGATGCAGAACGCAAGGGAAGGGATCGAACGCTAGAAAATCGCAACCTTTAACGCTTTGCCGAAGTCCTGAAGCATCTTCAGGAGTTCTGGCGGTACATGTCGAAGCTCCAAGCGCTGCGCCACGAAAATGTCGTGCGCTACACGGATTTCTATGCCGCACCTCGCTTGCACTGACAGGGCTCTTGGCAGATAAGCCCGGTCTCTCAAAGTCTTTCGTCCAGGATCGTGGAAGGGAGTTCCCAAGCAGAACCAAAAGCTGACAAAGTTTTCGCAGAGAAGCAGGTTGTCAGTCTTCCGTTGATGAGCATCCATCGACTTCCGGTCGTGTCAAGCTGCTTTGCGAGCCTTCCAGCCTGCAAATCATTTCGAGTATTGCAGAGACTGTATAGCTAGTTGAGATTTGAGAGGCAAGGTCTTTTTGTTCTCGGAGTGGTTGTCTGCTTCCAATCACCTGAACTTGATGCGTTGACTTTCCCTTTCGAATGTCTCACATTCCGGTCCGGTCGTTTGGACAGAATCTTTTCTGTAAGTGCAGTAGCGTGCCGGCCGCTGATCATTCCCCGGTGATGCATCTAGAAAATTCTAGAAAAGCGCAGCATGATGAAGTGCCTACAATGCAGGAGGCTTATTGTTTGTAGGACGCGTCGGGCGGGTCGGTGAGGTGATGTAGACCCCAGATTAAACGACCCGTGTTTGGTGTTTGAAGGATGCAAATGGATTTGGGGATCCTTATGATAAGCCTGATCAGGGGATCCACTGTGAAAATGCAAGCTTGCTAAACTCAGCAGCCGAGAGCTGGCTGTTTCTGAGTAGCTCCTACAAGGGGTCGCGTTAAGTGCAAAGACAGTTTGATTGAGGTAGCATCTGGTTCCTGCGTCCAAGTGTCATTTGCACAAGATGCTCGCGGCCCGCATGCGGTGCATACTCTTGTGCTGGCGTCCTCCTCTTATTTGAGGAGGATTCGTGTGAGACGCGCTCAACGGGCCAGGATTCATTGTAAATAATACAATACCACTTGGACCATTTTTGGCGGTCCAAGACTCAATAGTACTTGAAGGAAAGGATTCGGGGGTTGTTCGAGATCCTGAAAGCTTACGTGTCATGGTCCCGCCAGTTCTTGAGTAAAGCAATTTTCGCGCCGGTCCTGGATCTGGTGGTCTCCTTTTTTCTGCAGGTCGGTCTCCTCGGTCTTTTGGTGGGTTGTTGTCTTGGTCGTGTTCTGGATGGTGCCCTGTACATGGAGTACACAATAGTACACATGTAGTGCACGAAATGCTTCCAAAAAGCGGCGTAAATGCTGCAAAAGCACGATGGCAACTAGTCAGTTGCGACATATCCCTCAGCATAGCGAATCAACGGCCCGGCGGTGGTGCCTTCCTGGACCTAGTGGCATGCCTCTCTAGCATAGAGGATGCAGCAGTCGCCATGACTGCACTTGAGATACAGGATGCGTTGCTTTGGACACTTGGTTTCTTGATTTGGGTCTGCCGAGTGTCGTGACTTCGTGTAACAGGCTGGCGGCGGGTGCTTACAGCCCAGAGTTCGTCGGCACATTCATGTTGAACATTTTGCATGCAGCTCTTGAGCATGATCAAGTTATTCTCTCCAGACCCCAGGTTGGCAGCGAACATGTATTAGGTCCAGGTCGGACGGGCCGTGAAGGTGACCCCGAATGTCCGTCCCAGGACAGCAGCTCCTTCTACTTTGTCATGGAATGTTGTGCGGGACGAACGCTGCTGGAACACCTGCTGGTGACTGTGCTTGCAAGCAGAGATCTGCGAATTGGAGCAGGGTACCGGCACAGCGCAATCGCCGTAGTCTACACTCGGGGTTCGGAAGGAAGGCCAGAGAAGCCTAGTGTAAGCTGGGCTCTCTTGGGACTACAAGGTTCTTCACCGCACCGTTGCGCTGCTCTCACAAGCCCATGTGCCACTTTTCTTACGGATTAAACGAATCGAAACCAGGTTGTCCCTTCGTGGCAAGAGTCCCGCGTGCGACAGCTCATGAGACAGCTCCTGCAGGCTTCGGAGTTTCTGCGTCAAGCTTTTCTTTCTCATCGGGGCTGTTTGTTGAGTTGAGCTCGGCAGTGACTACAAGAATACGGAAGTCCACAGCTGTAGTAGACCGCCAGCTTCGGCTCGCGGTTTAGCTGCTGCCAAGTTGTTCTCCTGGGGATACCACCACCTCTCTGAAAAACCCTATGGTCGTAGCTCGGGAATGCTAAACCAGTGCACCTGGCCCAGAAGCTTCGTAGCTTCTGGCTTCGAGCCATCTCGTGATAACAGTTATCTGTCATCTTCGCGCAGCACTCCTCTGACACTCTGTTGGAAGTGTCCACATGCAAGTTGAATCGTTACTACCGGTTCTTGGTACACCTGAGAAAGCTTTAGGAACCATAGCGATAGGCGGTGAAGATGCTAAAGCAAAGGGTCACGAATCGCACATTGCCTTCTTTTTGCGAAGAGTCTCTAATCAATCCAAGAGTCAAGGAGTGCATAGCATACCGTTTTAAGCAGGGCCCATCTTGTGGGTGTACACCAGCACTGTTGTAGTCTGTCGCGCTGTTGCCTGACCCCCAGAACGTGAAAAGCGAGCTTAGAACATCTTAGAGCTGGCTGCATCCGAAGTACATTGCAGTAGTGCCAGCTTCCACAAAATCTCTCTAGTTAGCATTGCTACCGCCCTGGAACCCTAGGCCCTATAGACAAGCCTCGGTGATTTCTTTTCGAGCGAGCGAGCACATGCGTGCTTGTGGTCGTGCGGGGCCAAAGCTGAGTGGGAAATCAGGGGTAGCTGCCGTTGTTCGCAGCTTGTCATCACTTGCTCAGCTGGACTTCCTTGGTAATGCCTCCCTTCAGGGACCAAAAACACAATAATTACCAGGTGGGCCTCAAAATCTTCAGACAACGGCGGCATTGCAACCCGACTCTCTTCTCGCAGGCGCTGCATTACATCCATCAAATGGATGTGATTCACCGCACCTTGGCGAAAGCCAGGCTGGAGTAGCTGCAGACCTTCCGGAGTGAAGAAGAGATGAATCATGGACAGCGGAGACGCTCTGAACACATATTCCGCAGGAGTTAGTTCGGGGGCTGCTTTCCACAGGATCGAGCCATCTACTCCATGGGCATTTCTGGAAACGTGCTGACAAACCGAGGCGACGTGAAGCTCGAGAACCTTATGGTCCTCGACCGCTCCTTGGAAGGTGCCCAGGGCAGGGATCCGGAGCTCATGGGGCGCCAAGTGAGTGCCAAGTGGCTTTGACCTTCTCGGGACCCGTTTCAGCCGCACGCCACATCCGCTTTGATCCCAAACTCCGATTTAGGGGGGGCGAGTGAGGCCCCGGGCCCCGCCTCGCAGGCCCACTGATGAAGCTCTTGGACTTTGGGCTCGGCTGCCGGGGAACGGGCGCCGGAGCGATGGGGCGCCTCGGCAACAGCTCAGACAGCAGCACCGTGCCAGCACCGCGCTGACCGGGCTCCCGAGCGTGGCATCGGACAGTTTTGTCGACTCTGCCCTGCAAGGTTTGTAAATGGCTCATTCGCGGCCTGAAGCTCTGCATCAGTTTCCCTCCGCCTTTAGGTTTGGGGTAGCGCTTTGCTTGACTGCGGCTTACAGTAGCTGCCGAATCTTGATCGTCAACCGCGTTTGTGAAAGAATCTGTTGCGATACGGCACCTGTGTTCGCATCTGAGGACACTGGGCTACATGGCACCGGAGGTGCCAGGAACCCGGCCGGTTCAGTTTGGTGTCACGAGAGAGCAGTGAACCTGCCATGGCGTCATATGGTGAAGACGGCGAAGGTAGCGATGCAGGATGCACAGGTTGAACCCAGAAGGGCAGTCAGGCATGACGGATAGTGAGGTTTAGGGAATCCGTGCAGCCTCAAAGAGCCTGTCACAGATTGAACATGAGCACCTCTGTTTGTACTTGTAGGATGAGTTGCCTCTTTCATTTGCGGAAACAAGCCAAGGCTACAAACCCAACAGCCGCCCTGATATCCTACATTATTTCGAAAACTCTGGCATTGCTTTCTGAGGTTTGGCCCCAGCTCTTACACCAACAGTGTCGACCTGTTCTCTGCCGGTGTCGTGATGCACATCTGCTTTACGGGAAGGCACCCTGGGTGCCAGAACCAGCTTCGTGCGGAATAGTGCAAGTGAAGGCTGTAGAGTGCATTCCTGATCCATCATGACTCTGCAAGGGGTCTCCGGGATACTACGCGATGGTGGCGATTTGCTTTCTTCCAGTGCTACTGTAGCACCGGATTTCGAGAAGAGTCATTTGAACGACGATCCACACGCAAAACGAGACACTGACTTCAATCGCGAGGCCGGCATTTCCACCTGTCACCTACCGCACCTGGGAGGACCTCTGGGGAAAGGGTCGCTCCGGCTTCTATGCGCTAAGACGTGCAAGCAACATGGGCTCTATTTTGTTCCCAGGCAGCGCAGCCAATACACGCTCTAGTTTTCTCCCAAGCAGCACTCGAGCGTCCTTTTTTGAAGGATTTCCAACATTCTTGACACCCTTTGTCTCCCCTTCATGTGTGTGGTTTGCTTGGCTTCCTTGTCTCCCTTCATGTAGCTTTGGCCGGGTTCATGGCTTCCTTCTTGACTCATTCTCCCTGTGTCTCCCTTAGTGTGGGTCGACTTTGCCGGTTTCGGGCTTGGCTCGTAGACGTTGTCCAAGCTGATCCGTCCTTGTCTCCTTCTCCTCTAGTAGGCCTAGTAGGTGTAGGATCTGAGGGGGCTTCGGACTTCGGAGGTGTAGTTCAGCATTCCCAGGTTCCACTATTGGGATCCCCACCTCCGCACAGCCTCTGATGAAGCCTGCGATTGGCCATTGTACTCATGATCACTCGGTCATGCAGCGTATGTAGCTGCCAACTTAGCTTCCAGGACCACCACAGGGCACTCTTGGCCGGCCCAGATCTGCATCAGAAGCCTTTGCACAAGGTCAGAGGAGGGTGGTTTCATCTCACATCAGCAGATTGATGTTGTGGAAATCCGAACGCTAGCCATGCGCCGGCTCTGTTCTGTGCTTACTCTTCTAGTGCAGTGGCCCAGTTGCTCTGTCCACATCCACGTAAAGTCATTGTCCACATCGCATCCTTCCCTCGGAGCCTGAAGCTGCAAGTTGACGTTCAAGGCCCCGCTTTCACGGGTTTAGAGTTTAGGGTGACCCAACCTCAAATGCAGAGGCAGACCAAGCTTCGAACGCCTGCCAGGTTTCTTCGGCTGGGCGAGAGGCCGCATGCGAATAATTCCGAATAACTATATGCTGGAACACCGGTTCCTGGATTGAAAAGTTCGTTGTCACAAGACACCGGCTCCAAGCCACAAATCTACAGCAACCTAGCCCCCCAAGGGCCATTTAGTTGACAGCACGACAATTTGGCGGTGACCAGCGTGGTGCCCTCTCAACTCGAGGGTTTCGTGGCAAGGGCAACACAGAAAGCCGAAGGGCACCACAGAGAACGGCCCGCACGAGCAAAGTAGACTCCACATGCGCCTATCCTTACCCGACCCACTTCTGTGGCCCCTCCTTGCCCACTCGGGAAGGTTGGGACGGTCGCAGCTCGAAGCGCACGCTGCGGTGCTGCGGTACTGCGGGTTTGCCTCCGCTTGGCAGGTGCTCGCTTGGGCGCTGAGGCCCTCGGCCTCCCGGCGGTGTACGGCCGCGCAGGCCGGGGGCGGGGCCGTGGCTCGGCGGGGGCTCTGCTCGGCTCCGCTCTGCCCTCTGCGACGCCTCCGGCATTGGCAAATTGGCAATGCATTGTCGCCGCGAGGCCTTGCGCAGTCCCTGGCTGCAAGGTTTGGACCTCGTCTTCGGCAGAGAGGGCCATGGCCTTAGCTGAGCTCTTCCGACCTGCCCCTCTCAGGCGATGGCAAGACCTGGAAGGAGGACCGACATGGAGGATGGCATAGGCATCATTGTCATGGTCTGTGTCGCCCTTCGAAGTTGGCACAGTACGGCTTGCGACACTGTAGCCCCGAAATCCATGCTGCCAGGCTTTGGGTGTCTCTGGCTCATTAAGACCCACCCCTTACTGTTGCCCGTGTGAGAGAAGTTTCCGCGGGGTCTGCCCGAGGGAAACCACGCGGTTCTGAGTAAAGCATGTCCAGTTCATTACAAAGGTGGTTGCGCTTGTCGCTTGAGATGGCGTCCCGAAAAGCTTTACAAATTTTGGTGTGGAAGCGCAGGAGCCCGTCCTTTGGAGCGGAACTTCCAACGAGCTCCGCTTTCTGCAGGCTCGGCAAGGGTACTTCTAAGACGTCAGACGCAAGAGAAGCTCTTCTGCTCCCATGGCCTCGAATCTGTCCGATCGCAGGTCATGGGGGCCGTGGACCCAGCCGAGTAGTGAAGTTCTTCGGGACAGGGTGGTGTTTAATAACTCGAGATATCATCGATTCCTGCTCATAGCTAAGAGCAATGCCCGTGCCCTCGACATGCGCTATCGGGGTCGCGGCGAATCACCTAGCTGAAATTTCGAAAAATCAACAGAGGCTGTGTGTGAAGCAAGTTTGAGCGCAAGGCAACGACTATTGTTTTTCGCTTCTAGCAATGCCTAGGCACATCGTAGGTCGTAGCTCGTACAAGCTACAAATCCAGGATCAGGTGTATTGTGCAGACCACAGAGGTGAAACATATGAAGTCAATACCGGCACACGCCACCCAATATGTCATTTCGAAAGGCAACCCTTCCGAGCCTCTAAACCCTATAGCTAGACGTGAACTCTTAGACAAGATCGGCAATTGTGGATCAGGGCATGTTTCTGCGGAGTCCTCATGTCGCAGCTCAGAAGATCCCCGCCGCATGCCGACTTTGCAGACTGTGCCTCCTGGACAGACTCATGCACCTAATCAACTGCTCAGCGTGATGCATGATCCACGATGCCAGTGCCAGGCTGGACATCTGGGGCCAATCCACACCTGTACATATAAGAGTCCCTCTTCTCGTATCCAGTCGTCTGCACAACCATCCAGGCATAGAAATATTTTCGAAATACAGGTCACTGCCGCAGGGGGCACGAAACGAGAGACTGTTAGGCTCTTTTGACCCTTGACCTCTTGTGCGTGCAGAACGACCCGCTGAAGCAACAACTTGTTGCGTAAAGCTTGCGTACTTGAGTGCTCGTCCTTTTCACGACCTTGTTGTTGCCGGCTTGCTTGTCGAGTCTATTGATCTGCTTGCCGGTTGTCTGCTCTGAGAGACGGGAAAGGAACGGGCCACATTGCCAAGGCAATCCGAGAAAGGCACCCAAACTTCAAGCTAATCCGACCCTCGAAGTCGTACTGTGAAGGAAGCACCCCTCACCATAAACTTGACATCTAGACTTGCGATTACAGTCGGAAGGACCTGCCAGCCGTCTCCTCTCAGCTTTAGAGAGCAAGCGAAGGCCGACATAGAAACATTGAGCAGCGGTTTGGGCGGTGGGAGCATCGCGGGGAAGTGCAGGAAATGCCCTTGTCAGTGAGGGAACTTGTGCCTTATCGACCTCTGCGACTGTAAACCTTGCCAAACCGTGCCCAGTAAAAAAGTGAGGAGCACATCTGCGAAGAGCCACTTTCTGAACACCAACGGTGTTTGCCAACACTGTTTCCGAAAGGCGTAGTCTTGGCAACGAATGCCTCTTCCTTGGCCGTAGAAGCATTGCGCACACAGCCTTTTGCTGGGAACACGCGTTCGAGTCGTTTCAAGGCATCTTGTCAGCGGCACGAGCTGTGTAAGCCGTGTGGCACTGAGGTTTGGAATGGGGGCTCAACGCAGCTCAAGGTGGTGCCCAGCAAAGGCTCCCTCCAGGCTCCTGAGCCGCGCAGGGACAGCTAGGATCGCTAGGACCTGCTAGGAGTTAGGACTCTCTGGAAGCGCGCCCAGGTTATCGACGAGGCAGAAGAGGACACAGAGGAGCGAAAAGGGGCTTAAGTGGCAGGCGGGCAGGGAATCAAACAGAACGTCTAAACGAAGGCCTCATCTAGAAGGTGTGCCGTCTCTGGTGCGTGCATCCCTGCATCCCTCGTTCGATCATTGCCTGCTTTGACTGTGCTACTTCGTCAGCTGCAAGTTGTGGAGCATGGGGCAGCCGCCCCGTGCTATGACAGTCCCTGCCCGCATGCTGCCCGTGTTGTGACGGTGTGCCGACTTCCGACTTTCGAGGTTTGGGCGGCTAGGATTGTTCCTGCGAGGACGAGGAAAAGGACCGTGACATCGAGCAGTTCTGCTGCCGGCGTGGATCTCTAGTGCAAGTCGAGCTGCAGGATTGGGGAAGCCTTCAGTGCACCCGAATTGTCCAAGTACTCTACGAGAGACTAACCCAGCACTCCGCGAGCTCAGTCTCCAGGATGCTGTTTACTCGACTACAAAAGAGCTAAAGAAACACGTACCCCGGACATGTTCCCTAGAGGCGCAAGAGGTGTGTAGGTTCGGACAGACCAACGACTGAACGACCGAACGTTTGGCTCAAGGAAAACAAGCGTGATTGCATTGCTTGCTACATTTCCTTGTTAGAATACTTGTTTCTCTTGTGTTCTTCTGGTTAACAGCCTCAGCTCATTTGTCGCTGTTCATACTTGTCTGTGGCTAGGTGAGTCCAGAGCCTCTGCCTGAGCCATAGCTTTCCATATCTCATATCTGCAACTCCGCCGCACTTGATGTAGAGTTTGGAATCGCATCCGTAGGTCCGGCAAGTGACCTGCCTTGAACTGTTAGCTCCCTGAGTAGGCTAGAGCCAAGCCTCCAGGTAGGGCATGCCATATCAATAACGCACATAAACATTGGATCCAAATCGTCACAGGTTTACGCTCAAGAACATTTTACCCGAATCTTACGCAACCAGCCGTCGAATTTTCTGGAATCGGCTGCTGCGAGCCTTGAGGACCTGGGTATAGTTAGTTTCAGCTTTGGTTGCGCATGTCCGACATAAAGGGGCATCCTACGATCACTGAATCGCTTCACGACGGGCTATCGACTTGTATTCCTTGACGTCTTTCCCACTTATCTTCGCAACCGCAGAAGTTGGAATAGGACAAGAACACGTTGGAGAAGGTTTTTTCGCAGGTCCATTGACGCCTGGAATCGCACATCCTTCTTATTGTACTTACTACATCAGGTTCATCGGTTTACTCAACTGCCGTGCGCAGACTATAGGATAGATCTTACTATTCCTCGATACTTTCCGTGTCCGGGAGGCTGCTGCGTATGCCTCCGCTGTGCCCGGCGAGGTCAGTGCATCGCATTTGGGGTTTGAAGCCTGTACCGGGTGACCTGTTGGCATCCCGCCTCTGGCTAGCCCAACGGAACCGAATCACCACTTCCCGACATCCAGAGTTGAGACTGGCTGAGTGCTTGCGTGACTCGCCAACAAACTTCAATTCATCTTCACTTTATCTAATCCCCAACACCTCCTCTGAATGTTCCATAAAACTTCCCTTCAAGAAGGTATTGACGAACGGTAGTTAAGGCAACGACTGCAAACCTTGGCTTCTCCCGTTTGAGGCAGAGGATTCAGAAGTGTTTGCGACAGCGCCTTCTTGTTGGCTTCCGGCCACTGGAGTATTCCCACAACATTGAGCATGCCAACGAGCAAACAACCAAAGGTTAAATCTTGATACGGGCGTGGAGTCAAAGACCTTGACCGCATCATATTTGGCCCGAAGCCAATGCGCTGGAGACCGATGGTTGACTGTTGTTAGTGGCCTGCCTTTTAATGTGCTTAAAGTCCTGTCGAAGCGCTGGCACCATGTGTCATTGCATCCACTGTAACGGCAAAGGGGGTAAAAAAGAGTCTGAAGCCAATACGTCCGCTTGGGTTGTACCTTGACTACCTTCAGCAAGCCACAACATTGGCACGGGGGACGCGGGGTCCAAAGTCAGTACGTCGGCGTAGCGTTATTCATCCAAGTTGCACGAAGTCACAGAACCGCTAAGCACCGCTGGTTCTGTGATGGACCTCCTACCTGAGACATTCCACAACCCACCGTGGGACGTGGATGCCGATGAAAACCTTCGCCACCATTGCATCCACATTCAGGTCCCTATTGGGAGGAGGCCGCAACAACAATAGGCGTAGGCGTGCTGTCGCTATCCGTTTCGTCGAGGACATAGCTGACCGACTGGGCAGTCGAGGCTTTGCAAATTTTCAGGACTTGGTTCTTTCAGGAGAGTTTACGCAGGGCGAGCCGCTTTTTCTGGATGGCTTGACATTGCTTGCACCTGCTGCCCCATTGCCGCCGCCACCTGAGCCAGCTGCATCATCTGAACCAGCTGAGCCGGCGCTCAACGTCACCGCCTCCTAGCAGCTCGCCATTTCCCATAATAAACGCTCCAAGTCCTAGACCTCGGTACTGTGGTGTATGAACGCCCTCAGCACAGCCTCCCCAGGACCTCAACAGCGAAGCGACTGGTTCAGGGATGTCGGATTACAGGACTGAGTTTCCATCTATTGAAGAGTCGTTTCTGCCTCGCGAAGGTAGCATCAGTGATAGTGGGTTCATAAGTCAATGGTCCACCGAAGAGTGGAGGAGTTGGAATAGACAACAGGAAGACAGAGTTTCAAGCTCGGCAGCTTCGTCATCATCAGCATTGGTTCACGTGCTGTCTCCTGCGATACCTCCTGATGCACCTGAGCGCGAGCCCGATGGTCTTGCACCCAGACTCATGCGCATTGACAACGATTTTATGGCTTTGGCGCGAGCGTTGCGAGAGATTTCCGACGACGAAGACGTCGCTAGGGCGACTGCGGTCCCATCTTTCGATAACAGCGGTGTAATCAACAGACATTTTGCACCTGCCCGACGGCTTTTTGCTGCGTTGCAAGAACGTGAAGATATCATCCTGCTCGTTCTGTTGAGGTGCAGTACGGAGCGCTTAATTCTGCAATCCGCCGTGTTCTGCACTAATGCATTGGAAGCCGCGGGCTATATAAGACGAGCGCTACCGCTATTCTTCAATCGGCGTGCAACCGGCCGAAACGGCAAAACTGATTTGCTCTTTGGGGCATTGCGCCAGGCCAACATTGGGACGCGGGCCATCATTCAGGCCGACGACAGAGTCGACATGTTTCGGGAGTTCGCAAAATGGCAGTCGTCTGGATGGCAGGCAGGGGCTCCGCATCGCATCCTCGGACCGCCGTGGGCTGGACGAAGTTGTCCTGGCGGAGCTGTAAACGATGCACATTGGCGTCTTGGCGTGTTCAGGCAATCTTCGGGTTGCCCCAAGCTCCAAAAATCCGCCACACCGTCAAACAAGCCATGACCGATCCCAACCTTTGTGATTTTGTGCTGTGGCACTTTGCTTAGCACTGCGCAAATCGCCGGTATCCCATTATAACTCGCATGCTGCGGCGTTTTGCTAAGTGCTGCAGCCTGGGGTGGATTTCTTGGATTGGGATTATAGTTTCAATCCTGCGTTAGATCACGTTGTTGAGGTGTTGGCATTCCGCCTCCCGCATTCATATGAGGGCTGCAGCACCTTGCCTCGTTCTTCATGTTTTGGCGCTGGCACTTTGCCACCCGCAGTGCTAACAATGGCGTCCTCACATGAAATGGAGGCGGACCCTGCAGATATCGTCCATTTCTGCTTCCGATGAATCAGCAGCTGTGCAGGCACCGGAAGAGTCTTTTGGGTTATCGGTTGTGCCTTCAAACAAACGAAGTAGTGAAAGTAGTGGGAGCGAAAGCTTACCCAGGGCTACAAGTAAGCCCGTGTCTGAGGGTCGAGAGGTTGCTGTAACATCAAGTATATAGACCTTCGAAGGCATCCAGCCCCTATCGAAGGAACAAAGCTGCCGCAAAGCCTGAGCGCATGTATGCCTGCGAGGTAGCAATTAAAGTCTCGGGGACAGCACCGTCTGGTAATCCTGTATCGCACGGCCCGACACAAGAGGTTCATTTGCGTCGGCGTCAGCAGTTGGGTGTCATAGTGCAGGGGGTTGACCCTCAGGTTCATCCCCAAGGTTCGGCGCAAGCCCAGATCGTTGAAAATCAAGCGTACGCTTCTGAAGTACCGCGCCATGCAAGCTCCGTGTCATGTTCAGGCAATGGCCGCAAACATGGAGAGTCAAGCACAGCATAGGGCTTAAGCCATAGAGCAGCAAGGCAACTAGCTGTGGCGAATGATACATAGCTCGCCAGCAGCAGGAGCTGCATGGTCAGATTGCGACATTGCAGTCCATCGCTGTGGAAATGAAAGCGTGTTCCACTGATACTAATAGCGTACTGCAAGTTCCACATGGCATCCCACGTTGGGCAAACTATGACTGAGCTAAAGGTTGCTATATTTATATTGTCCACGTCAGCGGGTAATTCATCGAAGGCGAAAGGGCGAAGGGATCATAAGAAGGGTTCAGATTCTTCTGCAACCGGGGTCCCGGTTGGCACCTTTATTTGATTCGTGGGCGAGCCCTCCTCCCCCGCCGTAGGCATGCGAAAGGTGGCCGACATCATCATCGAAAACGCGCGCAGCACATCACCTGTGTTCACAACTCCCCTTGTTATTAGCCTAAGACCAGCAAGAGGTAAGGCTTCATTTCGTGGTGTTGGGTCTAGCATGGGTTTGACATGAGCTGCCACACCTGCTGCTGGACCGCCGGGTCCACCACCTCCGCCACCTCCTGAGTTCTTGAAGTTCCAGAGGAGGGAGAGGAAGAGCAGGTTGATGATGATCCCGTTGTCGAGCTCCCAAACTGATGGTAATGACGAGTGGTTACGGTGGTGACGGTATCCACCGCCAGGGGGTAGAGCCGAAGCTGAAGAGGACTTTTGAAGCAGCCACGTATAAGTGCAAAGATTTCAATGACTGTACGCTGCCTCAGCTCCCACAAGACAGCGTAGGGTGCAGGTCATGGGGGAAGGCTCTGTTGACTCGGTTCGCGGCAATTCTGCGTTGGCTACAGTTGCAGGGCTTGCGTTCTTCCAGAATAACCCTGAGCAACTTCCTCGATTAGGTTCGTTCGTTGCGTCGCAGATCTCGGACGCAAAGTATATGAAGGGGGAGTTCGGGCTAGAAGTGCAGGCTTACATTGAGAAAGCCCACACTCATGGAGTCCTGCCATCTGGTCGCGCGACGCTCGCGATGTTATCCCGTCGGTTCAGAGTCAACCGCGCCCGCGGGGCTACAGTTACACAGCATAAATGCTGTTAGCGATAACCTTGGACGGCTTCTCGCACAGTCAGATGCAGGCTTTTAAGGAGCGAGTCGAATATGTTCTGAATGTGATTTTTCCAGAACGCTGGCCGTCAGACGTGACCTTGTTTTCGTGGTTCTACGCCAAGATCAAAGCATCTAGGGGTCTGCAAAGGATTACAGACAACGTGAAGGATTCCTCAACGTCCCAACGTAGAACGTTTGCGTGGTTCTGGGAGCAATTCTCAGATCACTTAGCCGAGCTGTGTGAAGATGCCAACGAACGGGACTTTAGGGAAGCGATGATGAAAGAACCGAAAGAAAAGGGAACAAGACCCCGGCAAAGCCGGAGGGTGCTCCAGATGCAAAGCCAAAGTCATAGCTCTCCAGCAGTTCCCGCCAAGGACAACACCGTCCCAGCCATACCAGGCCTACCAGGCAAAGCGCCCCAAGGTAAGGCTAAGAGCAAGGCTAAGGCTAAGGTCGAGGCTGGAGCGAAAGGTGATGGAACAGGTGACGATAAGGGTAAGGGTAAAGGCCGAGGTCAGAATGATGCAAAGGGTCCTCCGCCAAAGGCGGATTCGAGCGCTAAAGCAGGAGCTACTGAGTCATGAGTGCTCTTTCCGAAGGGCACGTGCAATCGGACAACGACTGTCCCTGTTCGCACGAGACTGGAGGAAGTGGCAAACCCAAAGGGGCCACATCTTGCGCTGCAGTAGCGCTATAATGTTGCCAGCGACAGCATCCCCTGGAAGGGTAGTTAGCAAAGTGACGCGTGTTGGCGCAACAGCCACTCGCGGATCAGGCAGATGCCTGCTGCATGCAGGGTTCAAAGTCATCTGTAGGGCGCTCGCTGCATTTGCCACCTTTATCTGTCCTGATAGATCTGCGATTGCGCATGAAACATCGGCGTCGCCATCCATTGCTGCGTCTGCCATTCTTTCGGTGCCGCCGGGGTTCCAAATATCTTCGGCGCAGGTCGAAATCTGACTTCCTTCGAATCGTTAAGGGCGCAGGGTGTATATCCTCATGACCTCGCATGTCATGAAGACGAAGCGGTTACCTGTGTGCCCTTCACCAGATCCTTGAGCTAGGGGTTCACCACCAGGTACAGGAGATTGTGCCGAAAGTCCAGCGGGAGGTAAAAGACGATCTACACGCGAGGGTAAGGTTCCGATCTTCTCAGAAGATGCTCAGTTCGCAGCGCCTGCCCAGAAGAAGTTGATGCATGATTCAGCACGATCGCATAATAGGCCTAAGCACATAACGTTTGATGCAGGGCCGCATGAGGTTTTCTATGACCGCAGGGGTTCCTAGCTCAACAGCCGCAGGTTCTACGGATCCCGATCCGCATCCGCCCGAAGAGGACCAAGAAGAAGTCGCGGTCCCGCCTCCGCTGTTACCTCCAGTCAGACTACCGAAGGAGCGGCCGATTCTGAGGTGAGCGAGATGATTTTCCTCAACGACAAAAGCTTCTTAAGGAAGCGCTAAGCGTCGCTCACCAATTGTCACACTTCCCGGAAAACGCAGCATGTCGCGTGTACCGCAAGCGGGTTGTGCCTAAGATATCGGTCGGATCCATAGCCGACCGAGGTCAGCTACTTGACGTCGCCAAGTTTGATGAACGGATTATAATCGTCCGTAAATTAAAGGATGGTAAAGAAAATGATGTCCAGGTATCGCAAGGCGGGAAACGGACACGGTCTCGAGAAACCTTCTGCTATGACTAGGCCCGACGTATGACCAAACAACTGTCATGTGTAAATCGGACCAGGCACCTGAAATCCATACCGGGCTTTAAGAACTTACTTGTGAGTTTGAGCCTGTGTGCAGATGCGATCTTTCGGGTTGAGGATCAGTCCGGAGATTCCCCATGCCCCGTGCCAGGATTGAACGCATAAAGAGTCCTGCAATGTTTGACCCAAGACGTTGGCATCATTCCGTTATCACCGGCAATCCTAGTCAAAGATTCACAGTGGTTGCCTTCAGCATCAAAACATGAGTCTTGATGACCGACACACGCTATGCGGTTTTAGGATTTGAGCTGCAGTGGCCGTGGACAGATGTAGATGTACATACACTGATCTGTACAGGCCGAAGCTTCGGATATGTCCTAAAGGGGGGAGCTAAAAAAACACGTGCCCAGGACATGTTCCTTAGAGGCGCAATAGGTGTGTAGATTAGGACAGACCAAAGACTGAACAACCGAACATTTGGCTCAAGCAAAACAGGCGTGATTGCATTGCTTGTTACATTTCCCTGTTAGAACACTTGTTTGTATTTTGTTTGTCTGAAAGGAGTCAATTCGTCAATGAGGGGGTGTCGCAGCTTCAAAGATAGGATCTCTTCTGGGCTGTTGCAGTTTAGGTAGGCGGCTCAGGCACTTCAACCTTCCAACTCGTCTCCGGTGCATAAGGTTGGTTCGGCACATGGACATCCCCGTGCAGGGTGCTTAGGAAGTGCAATGCAACAAAGATGGGAGTTTCCACGCATCGGGACGTTGAAGAAGGGAAGAAATCACACAAGCTGTTAGCTGCTGGGGCGTCGCTCGTGAATCTTGCCTGCTGACGTACGGTTCATCCTGCGAGCACAAGGTCGAGTTTCAACCGGCAAACTTTTGTACACGTGGCCCGAAAAGCAGGTGCATTGCCAACCCGGGCAAGCCTGACTGCCCCCTCGTGGTCGTCTCCAAAGGCTTTGAGGTCGGGCCAGTGTGACAGGGATGTGAAAGACGACGAGGAAAAGGTTGTTTGAAAGACGGTAAACCCTGTCAGTGAGCTGTTGGAAGCGCTGCTCCAGGACCTGACCGGCTTTTCCGAGGAGGAGGTGCTTGGTCGAAGCCCCGATAGGCTATTCGCGCTATCGACTTTTTGGCCTCAAAGTGGAGCGCAGACCAACAGGGAGCGTCAAGCTTTGTTTCGCAAGACCGGATACATGTGAAGTTGCAGCCCCGGCAGGGAGAAACGGGTAGGGAGACGGGCACAGTCTGAAATGGACACGTAGAACATCGTCAGGTTACATGAACATACATGTGAAATACATGCGACAGATTCTCAGCACAGTCTTGGTTGCTCAGGTCACAACTGCCGCTTTTTGAACCGACTGCGCTCCAGGGACCTGTCTCAGGAGCCACATCTGGTTAGCCCGGTGCAGCTTCTATGGAGGAAGGAAGCTGGTTTACATGATTCTTGCTGGTCGGACGACTATGCTTAGTACACATACTGACAGAGCAGTGTCAAGGATTGCTTGCATAGGGCAAGCAAGCTCAGGAGATGTAGTTTTTTGGATGTCACAGAAACGAAGGAGAAATGGTGTGTGAATTGTGGTAATTATAACCTCCGGGCCGTTCGTTTTCGCTACGCTTCAGCGTCCTCGTCCGGAGAGGATGTTCTTCGCGTGAGGATCGACAGCCTACTTAAGGGTTTCGAAGTCCCGCGTTCAGGATCCTCATATTCAGGATCCCATTATTTCTGCCACGGAGACCGCGGCAAGTTCAACATGCACATGTGAAATGTCAGAAGTACGGCAAAGTTGAGTTGACACACAGGCTGACAAAACGAGCTGGGACAGCATCGCAAGCTCACAACATGCAGCCGCACTTCTAGACTATCAATCGAAACAGTGCAGTGTCTGTAACGGGTATTTTCAGCTATGCTCGGAGATGATTGAAAGCAGAGGAGGTGCGCGCGCAGCTCCGCAGTGCGGCACGAGGGGAGAGGACGCAACGGGTTGCTCTGTTAGTTCTGTCATGATGTGACTAAGACGGGAGTACTGCATGCAGTCCCAGCTTCAGGGCTGTGAGTTCATGTTCAGTGCTGGTTCGAGTATATCCCGGCAGTTCTACACCATACCACCATCCAGGAGTGACCTAGTGCTGTGCCTAACAAATCCTGGTCGCGGCCTTCCCAGCCAATGTAAGAGAGCCCACAGCTCTTGCGGACTGGTTGTGAGACTCTGAAGGAGCTTTCTCGGCGTAGTTCCCAACGACCGAGCCTGAGTGAAGCAGTGTAGGTAGGGGATCCGCCCGGGGAGCACTTACAAATGAGCTTATTCTGCATAATTACTCGTGTTTCCATCTGCACATGCGCAGATGTCAACAAATGGATTAAATAAGTTCGTAAACTCGTAGATTCATATACGTACATACATTGCTCGTTTCTTTCACACAAGACGAGACATCTAATCTAGCACACTACAGTATGGTATGGTATAGTATACAGCCGAGAGGTCTGAAAGCCAAAGCCAAGCCAAGGTGCAGCAAAGGCGGGATAGCATCGAAAAGTTCGCTAAAAACCTGGAAACGATAGAGGCAGCGTCGCTGAGAAACCACGAGGCCAGAAAGTGGAAGAGCGAAAATAGCAGCAAACAGAACAAAGTTCAACACAAGCTTGAACAATCCCAAGAAAAAATGCACCTCCTGCAAACTTCCAAGCACTTTAAACAAGATGTATTTAACGGCCTCTACGTGAACTACATACAAACCGTATGCGAGTTCCCCGACCCGCAAAACGTGAACTAATTCGCAGAAATCACAGAGACAATCAGGACAACCAAACTAAGAAAGCAGACCAAACGCACCGAAATCCTCGAAAGGAGCGAAAACTCCAAGGAGAAGACAAAGCAAAAGAGAATAAACAGCACAACAGGCAACGACGAACATGCAGCAATGAAGAACACAACGATCAATATTTCGGGACTGTCCGACCAAAGTTGTGTGTGTGTGTGTGGGTGGGTGTTTGTTCGTTTGTTTGTTCCAGTGACTCCAAGGCCAAATGCATTGGTGCATCAGTCCTCGCATGCGGAATGACCTCTTATCATGGGCATGTTGGGACGTGCTGTGAAACATGCTCATGCTTCAAGAACACGAAAGCGTTCAGCATCACCTATGCTTCGTTGATGTTGTTGTGCAGCGATTATTAGCATGGCACCTCGCAAGGATGACACGCATGCCATCGAACGATGGCTCAAGTCTGATTGTGAAAGTTGGATGATGTGGGTTTGGGTTGATTTTGAATTGGAGGTTGGTGAGCCTGGAGGCCCAAGATTTGATGGAAAGTACGTATGGTCCTTTCTTTGGACGATGTTCCTCAGTCGATTCGTGTCAACATCCGTAGTCCAAGACCTCCTTCTCGTTATAGCATCGTCGCTGGAGTTTGTGTAAGTCCCTGTTACAGTGAACTTTTGCAGTTTGGTTGTTTGTTTGTATGTCGTTGGAAACATGCCCATGTTTTTACGTACCGTTCAGGACATGTATGCGTGTGCAATATTCGGCAAGGAAAGTACGTACCGAGCAAATACATGGCTGTAACTACTCCTTCTAGATTTTTCGTGCATAAAAAGGGAAATCTACTTTCGTACACGGGCAGATCCGCTGCTGCGTCATGCACGAAAACATGGGTACATGTAGTTCTGTCTATCTGTTCGTGATTCTATAGAAACTTGCCGAGCGATCACATGCACGTAAACGTAACCAAGTGTGTTGGACAGGTTTGCTGTCCATTGTCATTGTTGTTGCTGTTGGTAGCAGTGATGTGCACGCAAATGCAATTTTAGTACACACAGGCCAAATCAGTGCATTACAAATGCGATCACACTAAGCCAGCACGGCATTTGCCGCGCTCTCTTCGTGCAAATGCCTGCATGGGGAAGCATATCACACATGTACGCTTGTGGCTGGTACAGAAAGTAAAAGCGACATGCAGCTGTACCATGAACCAGAAAGACTCAAGCTGCTCAGTGAATCTGGCTGTTGGCGAAAGGCACGGGAGGAGCGCACATGCCGACGACCCGAACGCACTTCGTCCAATGAGTCAGACGACGTGGAACAGACACATGGAAGAAGTTTACATGGAGGTGACCCACACGGTCAGCGTTCAAGGTCATGCCAACAGCAATGTTCAGTCACATGCAGACCCGGACGGTGCATGAGCCAAAATTCGAAATTGTTTTTGATGGATGTAATTGTTTGGGACGGGAGCGGTAGTCACAACAAAGTTTCAGGCCCAGCAACTCAGGGACACGGATGAGCGGATGAAAGTAGCCTATGGAAGCGGCCGGAGCCGCAAGAGCAAGGCAAGGGAAGACTGGCAGGAGGTTTGGGATGCAGTCGCGCAAGCATGTAGAAGAGACTCGTAGAAGGAACAGGGAACAGGTGTTACGTTTGAATTTCCATCACACAGTACATTTACACAGGTACCCCTAAGCACTATGTATGTGCAGTGGTGCACACACATTTGCATCTTCTCCAGCAGGGACTGCAACGGCCTGCCCATGCCTACCCCATTCTGCAACTGTTTTAGTAGAGGTCAAAAGCTTTCGTGGCAGCCTTTTCAACCGAAACAGCTTCATGCAGGATCAAGTTCAGTTTGTGCAGAGTTCTTGCAAAAGCCACCGGAGGCCAGAAAGGACGCCAGCTTCTTCGAGAACATGTTACATCTTTCGCGCCGCTTGGCATTCCCGACTCGAGGAAATTTTCGCACATGGAGGTTGACTTCGGTGGACCGAGGCAAGGTCCTTGTACAACGATTGCACACCGTGCTTTAAGTCGCAGAAAATCAGGAGTCGAACTTGCTGTGGCTTTGTGACGATTCCAACTGAGGCATCGACGTGAAGGGCCGCATGCTCATCGCCCGGGGCCCAGCCCAGGCACAGCTTTCGGTGCACGGCTCCAACCTCAAAACGTGGTTCTGCAGGTCTCAGCGTCTCCAGTGCCTGCTGCAGAGTGTTGAATTTCATGTGAAACCTTCGGCTTTTTCTGCTGGGGAGTCCTTGGCAGGACCTGTCATTACATCCATTTGCGGGGCTGCGCCGCCACGAGTAAACTCGGGCGTCAGATACCCCTTTGCATTTCCGAAGGCTGGTTTCAAACGGCCATGGAAGCACAGTGCCCAACTCCGAAAGTCAAAGATAGTGTGAGGAGTTGCTGCATAAGGCTTTCCTTGTAGCGACATGAGGTGGGAGTCCAGATGGAGGCACTCTGGCCGCATGGCCTCATGTTCTCTTATAATGAGGTCCCTCTTCAGGACGGGTTGTGTCCTTCCTCAATCTTCACGTCGGGAGTGCAACTTCAGCATTAGATCGAGGCAATCAATGCTGCCATGCTGTCATGCTGCGTTAGCCGACTAGCCCTAGTTACGAGGCTTTGCTTCGCTTTGCTTTGGTGGGGTTCGTGGGATGTACATTGGTCTGGCGGCAGGTGCAGCTGCAAGTGATGGATACTTGTACGGTGTGCGTGCGCATTTTCCTAATCACCCTAACCACTTGGAAATGCAACGTTTCATACATCTTCATGGCTTCTTCGAGCAGGTGCCCCTAAGGCACCAAGAGAGCTTGCCCACGCCAGGTCTCAGGTGACCTGGACTCCACGAGCCCCAAGATTCTCGGCGCAGTGCGCAAGGCGAGGGAAGCGGCACCAAACGAAGCTTCCGTGCTTGAGACGAAAAGCAGAAGCATCCAAGCATCCCACGATCACCCGCGAAATCGCTCAGCTTGGGAGCCAGACCTCACGCTTGCTGCCCTAACGGCCCTAACGTCTCTCGAGAAGACTGTGACACAGCCATCCACAGCCCCTTTTGCAAGATAGTGGCAAGTGACTGCGCCGCTGCCGCCGCACCGCAGAGACTGCGGCACCGCGCCGCAGAGGTTCATTCGTCCCTCCGGCATTGGCAGCGGAGTTCGGCTGCTACACCCCGTGCGGGCGCCGAGTTCGAGAGCGCGGCCGCGGCAAGGAAAAGCAGGTTCTCTACAGCTATAGGGCCTAGTTCGAAGCACTGCTGCTGAGGTGGCGGCTGAAGAAATTTTCAAGTTTCGCACCTGAGACTCGTAGACAGTGGCACTGCAGTCGAGGGAGACCTCACGTGCAGGCCCACATGCACATAGGCTGTTGCGGCTGTGGTGCTGCAGCCACAAACTGGAGGCTGCCTGGCAAACCACAACCGCGCGGTTCCAATTTGAACATCGGCATGGCTGCACGGAGTGCGAAATTGCAAAGTAAGGAGTGCATCCAACTCGACAAGCCGCATAACCGTGCAGCCATGCTGTGCAAGTTCCGGGAAAGAGCCATGCGTGAACAAGGTTTTACAGAGCCCGTTGCAGGCTAAAGGCCGGGGACATTGACACGGCATGTATGGAACTACAGAACTTTCGTCACTTCGCTCCTTGTTGGCAAGTCCTGCAGGAGTCTGGAGTCTCCGAAGTTAGATGTTAGATTTCAGATGAAGTTAAGCTACTGGCCTGGACACCCTACAGCCTGTCCAAGACGGTGCCGCTTCACGAGGCTTGCTTTGGGCCCTGCCCACTGCTCACTTCGTCTTCGAAGGATGGACGATTCGTTTTTCGTTTCAGAGACCGAAAAAACGCGCACTCCACCAGGAGCGAGGCCTGGGCTGCCCCAAACGGCCTCGGCCTTGCTCCTGCCATGGGTCTCAGGCCTCAGGCTCAGGGACTCGCGGCAAGCGGAAGCTGGTCACGTGTGCAATGCGATACCAAGCAATGGCCAAGACTCCCGAAGCCGCCCGAAGCCTCGACCGACTCAGCTTTTGCAAAGCTGTGAGACCGTGCGTCCTGCAGGGGAGTGGAAGGACAAATTCAATACTCGTTTAAAGTAGAAGCTATGCCCACACTGTGATCGGCCCCTGCGTACTCAATGTGCATGCGTCCACCAGCGCGGATGGACTGCAAGCACGTTTGCTAGGAGAGCTGTGCTTCAACCGGGGCACAGTAATCGCGCTAACTCTTTCTGACTCTCGGCAAAGTGGTTGCACAATTTCTCCTTTGTACTGCAATCACTTGTCACATCGTTCTTCTTGCATCTTCTTTGCAAAGTATTTCGGGTTTTAAATGCACGGCTTCGTGCTGCCGGCGTAGCATAACAGCCGCACAGCCTGTGAGATAACAACGGAGTTTCACCCGTTTCCACACCCAGTCGACTTCCGACCTTGGTTTGCTGTGATGCAGCTGGACAAGCACCCTTTCAGGCAAAACTGGCGTCCTCTGTTCAATCTGATTGTTGCATCACAATAGGGTCGTTCCCTTTCAGCCGTGTGGCTTTTCTTGATCGCGGAGCCCGTATCGCCTGCTCTAACTGCCTCAGCGATGCTGGGAGCTGGCTTTCTGGCTCTGCGAAACTGCACATGTTAGCATCAGCACGGCTTTGAGAGTCGTATTGTAGACTATCAGCCCCTCTTCCGACTGTCGGGTCGCACTCCTCCATTTCGCTGATTTCGCTGTGCTTGTGCTTTGATTACTCCTTTGGCAATACGACTGGGTACTGTGATACAGTGGTGCAGCCCATGTGCATTTAATGTTCGTTTATCGTGCGCTTCGCTCACGATGGCTGGTTTGCAGCACGAATGATGAGACACGCCCACCACCATGTCCAACATCTGTGTACATCTGTCATGCAACCAAGCTCCGCGCAGCCGCAAGTCTTGTTACACATAAGACGGCCTGGTTCGCCGGAAACTGAAGGAGAATTGGTGATAGGACTGGCCTCAGCGTCATGGATTTGATGGACAATCAGCCTCGTGGTTACAAGGCAATGGCCTCCGTGCTGTGAACTCAGGACTGTGTACAAGAAATTTAACTTCCTGTGTTGCGAAGGCAGCTTTTGCTGGTCAGTGTTAGACGACATCCGCCGCTACAGCCACTAGAGAAGTCTGCTGCAAGAACACGAGCGCCCGCGCTTATGCCGGCCCGAAAATAGATGTTGCAGATGCGTTCTCGGATGTCAATAGTCTAGCTCTGTCAGACTGTTGAAAGATCCGACCCCTATGATCGCTTTCCAGTATACATGACTGTTGGACTGATTGAACATTGGCTATTAAGATTTCGGTTCTCTTGCCTGAGCGATAGTACAGAATAGCCACTTGACGGCAGGAGGCATCGACATCGGAGTTGGCACCTGCCTCTTCTCATTATTCTCAATGCCGTAAGTTCTGATTCAAGTATTAGTATGTGGACAGTACTTCTGGTCTTTTTAGACATCGTAATCTCATTCTGCACTCATGCATGTTTTGGGGTGCTAATCGTGCTCCAGCTTCAGAGTCTGTATTTTGGACTCATGAGGCAGTCTTGCGCAGGGGGTTCCAGGAGCAGGTCTCGTGCTGCCAAATCTTCTCGTACTGTTTTGGATGACCCTTGCATGCACATTGAGCGCGGCAAGAGCCGGGCATCCGAACAGCGTGGCGGTTTTCTTCACCAAGGTAGACAATGTCTCCAAGCTGACTTGGCGGTTTTGCTTCTCAAGCACTAGCCAACCGCATGATTCCACATGCTTGTGTGAATCAGTTTTGACAACGGCATAGGATCTGGATCCTTCTTTTTTTGCAGCGCCCAACCTTTTCGTTTCACCTTTTTTTTGCACTCCCTCTTCACTCTTCTGATTGCTTGCATGCGCGGCCACCAGCGGGCTTTTTTCACTCTCAAAGTTTGATTTTCGATCCCAAACATGTCTTGGGAATCTCGCACCTTATATTATTGACTTTTCTTCTGAATTGATTTCTGCGGCCCCAGACCTTAGAATGGGTCTCTCGCCCCGTTCCTTGGCCGGTGCGGGCGCCCTGCCCAATTCCTTTTCATCTTTCTTTTATCGTCTTTTATCTTATCTTTTGCCAGTTTTACTTGGCTTCTCTCGCCGTTGCATCTGCCTCTACTTCGGACTAACCCGCCCGGAAGCCTTTCATGTGCCGAGGTTTTGGTTTTTGGTTTTGAAGGAGGAATAAAACGTTTTGTTAGAATGATGATTTATACATGAGAGATTCTTTGTGGCGGGAGTTGTAATTCGCATTGGAAAGGAACTAATGGATTTGGTAGTATTAATTTCATAGTAGTAGAAAATAGAATTGACGTCTAGTAAACGTTAACAAGCGAAAATTGAGTGATAGATCAATTAGATTTGTGATATATTTATAATTAAAGAACTAGAGTAATTTATAATTTATTTGGTATTATTTTATTGGATCGAGATAATTTTTTGTATATTTTATATATGGCATTGATTTTTATTTAAATAAGAGTATATATTAGAATATATTTTATAGGAAGGGTTTATTGTGAGCGTTGATTCTATTGAATAGTAAGATATGAAGGGATCGTCTAATGAAGACATAAATAAGAGATTGATAAGTACTAGCAAGAGCGTCGTTTACTAAGTAAGCAAAATGGTATTGGGTATATGTGTTTAGAGTTATTGGATTTAGATGAATCTCTCATTTGCGTAATATTGATTATTAATAGTCTAGATTCCTATATTATGTATAAAGCGAGTAATCGATATAAGAGGGTAGATATACGGAAATATCTATATTTTATTAATGTTATAGATTATCTAATTAGTAAGGGATATGAAATTTAAGATATTTTAATAAATCGAATTAATTTCTATTAATATTCTATAGTAGTTTGATATCAAAAAAGAGTAAATTACGAGTTTTAGGCATTATTTCATATAAAAATAAAAAATTCAATTAAGAATATATTTTTAATAATTGAAGGGAGGTAATATGGGGAAGGGAATTAGATAAGTATTTGAGAGAAATAATTTAAGATTTGAATATATATATATATATTATTATTAAAGGAAGTGGGAGATAGGAAATAGATAAGGCAATAGAATAGATGATTTTAAATTATATAAGATTAATAGAAGATAGAGACGCAATAAATTTATAAATTGAATTTATATTGATTATATTTTTAGATTATGATTGAAAAAAACTCAGTAATTGAAGGGGAGTGATATGGTAGGAAGTGAGAGGGGAATATATAGGATTAGCTTATATTGAATAATATTTTGGAGCTGGAGATTTATTATTATAATCGGGCCTAGGGAAAATTCTGATATATTTTTCTCTTGTAGAGATAGATATTTTTATTATTCTGGGGATTTGGGCCACGAGTATAATGGATAGGGTCGAGCATAAAATATTGAGGTCCTTGCGGTAGGTAGGCACATCCCGCCCTCTCGTATAATAATGTCTCACAATAAGGGAGGACGAGCCGCTGGGAGGCACGAATATCACTGATCGAAGGCGCCGACCGTGAAGGAGTTAGAGAGTCCACTCTAGGCAAGGCAGGTCAGTAATCCGCAAGTAAGGGGAATCCTTGGCGTAAATAACCAGGCCGAGGGCCAGGTCGGAGAGGAAGCCAGTGGTCCGCACCCCACCGTTGCGAACCTCGAGGAAGTCGTAGTCATTAATCTGGGGCCTATCAGGAGTCGCGTCATTTAAAGAGTCTTCCTCGCTGGCCGGCCGAATTATTTATTTTCCATCCGACAGGCTCAATTCGGCCGATAGGGTAAAAATCCTTTCGGTCGACACACGAGCCATAGAGCACATGGGTCCACCGCGGGCAAGATAGCCGCACAAGTTGGTAACTCGTGGGGAGCCTTCTGGAGGGCCCGTCACAGATCCTGGCCTGGCGGTTGTTCATGTACCGTCGGTCACCTATCTGCCGGTCCCGTTGGGGGTCCTTGTAGGATCAAAAGACCCTATCGAGTGGTCTCGAGACAAGCCGTAAAAATCCAAGCTCGTCCCACTTGCGGAAGAGGCCCATGACGCTGGAGGCCTTGTCGTGAGAGAAGGAGGGCCCGGGGGGCTGCGATGGCTCAAAGGTTTGCAGGACCTTTGGCTCAAGAAAGGGGAGCAGAAGACCTGGGTCAAGATCTTCCGCTATATTCCAGTGCCATCTCCAGACAGCGTCACACGATCCGGGTCCAGGTCCCGGTAAGGCTGCAGCTCCTCCGGGCCGCCAGGGAGTCGGGGCACAAAAATAGCATCGTGATGGGAAGAAAC